AAGTTATAAAGACACGGCAGAAAAGAAATCTTTCGGTTTTTTATGACAAAAACATCCTTAAATGATGACTGTTTATATGGATTTTCTAATGAAAGCCTTTAAAACTGAGTGTCCTTTATTGCTCAACAAATAAAAACCTTTTTAAAAAAATCTAAGCATGTCAAAGTTAAAAAACAGAACATTTTGTCACAGTCCAAAAACATATAAACATATATATAGAGTCCAAATTGTAGCATAGTTACTAAAGAGTTGTATTGTATTAGTTGTATCTTATCTGTTATTTACATTCATAATGTCATTTTGCCACAATCAATGCAAAACAAAATCTGTGTTGACTTTTTTTTTTTACTGAGACATTAATCTCTATTGTCTGAGTAAAAGAGTCTAAAAAATACCATTCATGTTACAGGGATATAATCCTCTTGTCATAAAATATCAGACGCATTAATGCGGTGACAGTAGGGGGCTGACGTTTGGAGCAGAGATCGTGGCTTTATTATTCCTAGAACTATGATCATATAACAGATAAATATGTGCCGTAATATCAGGAAAGCCTGTTAGAGGTTCTAACATTTCTTTCCTCAACCTCTGAATCCTCCTAAACTCCATTCATTCATTTATACATGGTTGGGCAGCTGCAAAACCCACCAGCAGAGGGCAGAATAAGTAGCGAATTGTATGCGAGTTTATATCAACAGCAGAGATGATCTGTTACTGGGAAAAACGCCCAGTTTCTGTCACTCACACACACACACACACACACACACACATAGTGAGTTATCCCTCTTGTCTGTGAGTGTGATTATTCCATGTGAGCACGAAAACAACAATCTCTTTAAAAGCTAAACAGAACCCTCAGATACAGCAAACTGACTGCAGGTGTGACGAAGTCCAGCTCATCAGAAAATGTGAGACTTGCTGGTAAAAATCTCTTCAAGCTGCCAGAAAAAAAAAAAGATAGAAACAAAAACAAGTGACATATAAAGTGTGATCTGTGTTGGCAGAACTGCGCTCATAACTTCCAGTGCTGTACAGAGCACACCAGAAAAAGAAACATGAGAGGAATGGGAATTTTTTTTCCCTCAGCTTTTGCAGAAATAATAATTCATCTCAAAGGACATAACATACATTTTACCTCTCCTGTAAATTTCTCTTCCTTGTGCAATGCTGCTTCTTCCAAATACATCTAGTTTAAAATCTGTGCTGTTTCTTTTGCCTGGTAAGATTTTTTCCAGGAAACTGAAGTAGTCTTGATGATGTTTGTTGTTTGGATGAAGCATCTGATAATGATGATGATGATGATGATGATGATGATGATAGCAGCTCTGCACATCTCAGAAACCATTACTCAATTTGAAAATATGTTAATCTATTTATTTATTTTTTTTACTGTTGCTGTAGTTTCTAACTCAAACACAGGCACATTGCCTCACTTAGCAAACATTATCACAATGATTTTTTCTTTTTTTTTTTTGGAGTAAAGAAAAGAAAAAAAACAAACATGGCAACTCACCTTTTCTTCAAATCGAACTGCTTGTCATCCTGGTCGCTCACTTTTTAAATGCAAATCTCTTTCCTTGCTGTTGTTGTCTGAAGTGAACACGAGCAGAGATGATTCAGACGCCGCGTCCAAGTAAAACAAGCAGTTTGAGAGAGCAAACACGCAAGGAGCAACAAGAAAGCTTCCTCCTCCTCTCCTTCCCTCCCCCCCATCGTGAGAATGCAAACTCCTGAGGAAGCGTGATGCTGCAGCTCGCTTGCCTCTCCGTCCTCATGGCAACAACAACATCCCGGCTGTGGATGTGGAGAGCGTGCAGGGGGATTATATGCAATAGCTGCTGGACTCCCTCTCCAACACACGGCTCTTGGATGGCAGGATGCAGGTCTGCCCATCGCTTGCGATGTCGAAGCAACACCTGATGGGGAAGAGTCCGAGCAACAGACACCTGACAGCCGTCATAACCTGTAGAAAGTTTGCAAAACTGATACAGATTGAAAATAGTGCTTTTGCACATGCATTCTGGTTGATCTGAGCTTTTTGGTATTGCACTTTTAGTTAGTAATCCATCTAGATTAATTATGTCATTTATAATAAATAATTTTCAACACCAAATAGGTCTAATAATTTTTATTTTTGTGGTACGGAAAGTGGTGGAATGAAACGGAAATCTTAATATTTAAGAGAGAGAACCTCTTGGAACTGTGGGTCAAATCTTTACACACACATAATTATTGAGGCGCTTGAGTTATCAATCAAATTAGAATCTTTATTCCAGATTTAAGAAACTGTGTGAATCCTGTGATATTAACTGAAGTGGAAGCACTCAGATGGCAAATCTTAAAACAGGGGAACAGCTTTAAAAATTGTGATACAGGACAGGATGTTATTGTTTGAGTCTAAACTTAATCATGCTTCATTGTTATCGGAGCTTCATTTTCCTTTACATTAAGCATAGCAAACCAAAACAAAACCAAGAAATGTCAATCTAATCAGGATTTCCTGGATTTAAAGTTGATTATTGGCGTCAGCAGACCTGGCAGCAGCCAAAGACAAGCAATGTTCTTTTTTTTTTTTTTATTATTTTGTTAGTTTTTTTTTTTTTTTTAAGAGAGAAATGATGCTTTGCCTGACTTTCATATTCCAATCTGCTGATAAATAATGAGAGCAGTTCATTTATTTCCTCTTAGAAAAAAAAAATACCACTATTAATTTTTCTGCACAGACTCTTTTATCTAGGACATCTGTCTAGATTTTCTTTTATTGTTTTATGCCACATTGACATCCTGAACATTGATACTTATGTTTTTCAACTGCACAAATAAATAGCCAGACTGCAAATCTACAATGGCAAATAAAGCTTTGGTGGATTAATGAATTGAGGTCAGCAGCCAGGAGGCAAGTAAATAATCCGAGAAGGGAATCGATTGAGACTAACACGACCTTCACTCTCAACATTATGCCCCCAGACAGGGAGTCAGCTTTAAGGAGAAACCAATAAAGTCTCGTTTTTTGCAGTAAATTGAGAGTTGTGCAAACTCTTCATATTGCATCGAGTGAAAGTCGTCTTTATAAGTTTAGAGATGGCCACAATGCCGGCATGATGTCATCTTAATGAAGGTGTTAAGTAGACCCACCTGCCTCTTCGCTCAGCTGCAGGATCCTGAGGTGTGTTGACGCACAAACTATCTGGGATTTCGGCACAATAAGAGCTTGTGCTGAGTCAGAAACTTACCATCTGCTGCCATACCTCAGGGAACCTGCGCTCATCAGCAAATCTCTTTCCAAACCCGGATTCAGGAAGGGGGGAAAGATCAGAGGTGAACTCCTGCAGCAGTCTGAGCCAAATCAAAGTTCAGCGTTGCGTAATAACGTGATAACATTTGTTTCATTATATCTGCTTCCTGTTTGTCCGGTGTTGTGGCTGGATTTCTATGGGGTTTTTTTGCTACGTTGAGGACAGTAAGCAGTGAAGTGGAGCGTATAAAAGGAGAAGTGTGTTAGAGCAAGGTAAGCTGCAGACAAACAAAAAACAAAAATCTGTATTTTAAATCTGAGTATATTTCTCACAACTAGTCTTCACACTCGTGTTTTAAAGAACGACCTTTCATTTGTTTCTAGGCCTTTTCTCACTGTGACAACACAAGGAAGTTCAACAGTATAAAACGAGACGTTTTCGTGTCCAAATGCATAAAGACCGAGTCTGGCCTAAATAAAAACTTTGTTTCTGGCAGCTTCTACTTTTACTGTTTTAATCTTGAACTCCATATTAAGGTTAAAGATTCTATTTTATTGTGTTATACTCTTTGTTGTTGCACGAATTATAAATAATAAAGGACCAATTCTAGTTCATCAGACAAACTTATGTTTTATTACTGTTGAGAGTTGATTTCACCTATCCAAAGATTATATCCTCTCATTGTGATCATAAACAATAAATTAATGTCAGACTTTTAAAGATAGTAAACTTGGGAATTTCCTCCAATCCACACAAGGAGTTGAGGTCAGAGTCATCCCACAAGCCTAATGTTTGCCAGCTTTATTTCATTTCATTGACCTGTTACTAACCTAACTAAGTACATTTTTGGAGCAAGATCTTCTTTCTTGGTTGGCACCCTCTGAGTCTGTGGCTCCGCTGTACTTTACTGATAGTGACACTGACGTCCAATAAGAAACTGGGCTACATGACTAAGCTTTGATACGGTTGGTTTTTCCAGCCTCAAGTGAAAATTTGTCGACTACAAAAAGAAGTCTGGTTTGCAACAAGAAGCCAAACAGTTTAAGTGAAATTTACTAACAATGGCAAGAAGAATGTTCAAGTGTTTGATGTTATTTTTTTGCCAAAAATATGAGGTAACACTTTTAATGCAAAGTTGCTCTAAAAGTTGCATTGAAAGTCCATTAAAAGTGCCAACGTTGCATTAAATTGCCATTATTTACAAAATCATGCAAAGTTGGCACTTTTAATGGACTTTCAATGCATCTTTTAGAGCGACTTTACATTAAAAGTGCCATTATTTACCGAATGACACTTCATGACGACATTCATAAACATTCATAAAGACGTCTTCATGTTCATAGCAGATGTTATGTCATGTTTTTGACAGTGTCATGTCAGTCTTATAAACACCCCTTCAAATTAAGTGTTACCAAATAGGTAGATTGTTACAGACAGAAAGTTTGGTTGAAGTGCAACTTCCCATCAAAAGGCATGTCTGGAATTTGCACATACGTTTTTTTTTTATTATTATTATACATGTGGGAAATCTTTTTTTTTTTTTTTTTTTTTTTTCCCTTCAACTCTCCAAAAACACACACACAATTCAAATCCACCGTAAAAATCTAATGGTCCAAAATGACTGGATCCAAACCATTAACTGTATTTCTTCTTTTTCTACGTCAGCATACAGTATCAGAGCATGACTCAGTATTATGCCGGTAAACAGCGAAGCCTTGCACGAATAAAACCGATGGTTTCATCTGAAATTCATTCCTTAACTTCTGCATTTTCAAGACTTGGTTTTGGTTTGTGTGACGTTTTGCAATACCTTCATGTTTCTCGGCTGCTGCAGTCATGCTGGCAGGTTATATTGGGCCGAATGCAGCTGGTAGAAAATGAGACTCACATGACGAGCCGCAGAGCAGATGTAACAGGAAACAAGACTTCTCCTTTAACAGAGAGTCCGTTCCCCGGGTGTCATTTGCTCCTGGGACGTTAGTAACTCACTCATTGATCCTGTCAAGGTATGTGCAATCCTGGTTTTGTGTTTGGGGTAACAAAGAGATGAGCTGCTTGGTAAATATAGCGAGCAAATTCAATTATTATGCATTAGGATTGCTAGGAAAGTAACCTAGGCATGCTTGTGAAACCTGTTTTAACTTCCCCTTTGTGAGCATGTGTAAAAATATAAAAATACACACTTTATCATCATTTACAGAAATATAAGACAGACCTCCTTTACTCTCATTAGTTCTTGTGCACCAGCACCAGTGATTGTTTAATTTTACTTGTGATGCTCCATTTTCAGGCGTTGAATTATTTATCGGCTTTCTGTCTCAGGTTAGTTAAAATTATGCAAAAAACAGTTTAAATCCAGACACATGAGAACAGTTTCTAAAAACATTTTATGTACTTGATGTGGAAAAACTGGGCATCATTAATCTGGAACCATGTATTTGTGATGCATTATTTCAAAGCTTTTTCCATGTTTAGTGTGAAATTTATTCTGAAAATTTCAAAGAAAACAAAAATACTGTAAGATGTCAAACCACCATTTGTTTATAGTAGTTTGACTATTTCTATTTGCTACATTCAAGATTAAAAAGGAAGATGTTTTCAAAAGTGCACATCAGTTTCATTAGCTGCATTTTAAGATGGGTCAAACTTTTTGATGTTTCTTTCACAAGCGTCTCCACCTTCTCCTCTTTAAAACTAATTTGGCAGCATAATAAGAGTTATTGTTCATTTGGAGGGCCGCTTTGTGCAAAAATCTCTAACTTCATGGTTGATGTCGTAACATGAAACTTCAGTATTTGGTACATTGACTTTTGAGGAGTTGTCTTGAAATGCATTCATATGTGAGCGTGCATTTAACTAAAATTATATGAATTCCTGTAACAGATGAATAGAAACCCATGAAGTAATCGCCTGGGGTTCCCCAAGTTGTCTTATTTAAGTTTTTTTAAAAATCCCCCATCTCAGTATTCTGACAAATAATTTTATTAATCCTAGTTTATCCAGACGAGAAAACAAGAATAGCTTAATTTAATTCTTAATGAGAAAAAAAGTTTTGCTTGTATACAACTTTAGAAAAAATGAAATAAAAACCTTTTGCTTATTCCACCAAATATTGATCTCTGAACTCTTCCTGAGTCAAAACATTGGTATTGTTGTTTCTAAATGAATTTAAACTTGTTTTCTTTGCATCATTTGAGCTCTGAAAGCTCTGCATCTATTTCATTATTTTGACCATTTCTCATTTTCTGCAAATAAATACAAATTTTTTGCTTGTGATTTCAGAGACATGCTGTCAGAAGTTCGTAGAATAAAAGAACAATGTTCACTTTACTCAAACATAAACCTGTAAAAAGGAAAATCAGAGAAAGTGATTGTCAGATTCAAACAACCTAAAAATATTCAAAAAGGAGAAAGACAAGAGAGTTTTAGATTTACTTGCAAGGAGAACGGACAGAGACGTGCTTCAGTTACGATCTCCTACCGCTCTGAAGCACGTCCTGCCGTACCCTTTCTTTTTTTTTCCCCCTTAGCGCAATCCCTAATTACATAGCTATATCTTGAGTTAATCACATCGCGTTGCTCCTTCTTCTGTTCTCTTGAGTCACAAGCTTGTTGCACCTAAAGGCTGACATAGTGCAGAGTGCAGAGTGCAGAGTTCAGTTCCTGTTTGTTTCCTACTGTAGCTGCAATACAGGAACTGATGAACTCACAGAACAGTGGTGACATGCAGCACAACTAAAACAACTTCACACACATCAAACACAGTAAACATAGGATAAAATATACTAAATATTTCTAATATTGATCATTTTAAGTGGTCTCTCAATTCTTTCCAGAGCTGTAAATATTGAAATATGGCCACAGCTGTACATATTTTTATCAAATATAATTCTGGGGCACAGTGTCAATTTCTTTTCAGGTTAAGAACATATAATCAGTGGGTAAATAGAGAGAAACCTTCTCACCAATATTGACAGGCAGCACAGTTAATATCTGAGCCATAACGCTGAGGTCCTAATGTTAAGTTTAAGAATATCTGATCAGTCAAATAGTTCCCCAGCTAGAAGTCTGAGACGACACCCGATCGCGTTAAATGTGTTTTGTTTTTCTTTTCTTCTAGGATGCCTGTCTGGTTGAGTGCAGTTTTGCTCCTGGCAGCTGTGATCCTCTGCTGCTCTTCATCAGCCACAAACAGATTGTGGGACGACTGGAGAGCTCAGCATGGCAAAGCTTATGACAATCAAGTATGAGTTAGAGAGAAGAAATAAATAAATTTATAATATTCAACACATTTCTTGTCGTACAAATGTGCAAACGTGTTTGATGGGACCGTTTCAGACCGAGCTGGACTTCAGGAGAACAGTGTGGGAGAAAAACCTGCTGTTGATGCTGAGACACAACCAGGAGGCTTCAGCAGGAAAACACAGCTTTACTCTGGGACTGAATCATCTCGCTGACATGGTAGGATGAGGCTCTAGCGGCGGGTCCCGTCCGTCTGCCTTTCTGAGGCCTAGCAAACGAAGCAGAAGAGCAGTGATCTAAAAAGGCGGGCAAGCCAGCTGACCTCAAAACAAATAAGAAATAGTCAGAAAAAAATAGTAAAACTCAGCAATAATTAATGCAGAGCGAAAAATCTGCTTTCTCAAGCCTTTGGCAGCATCTAAGCCAGAGGTCAGCAACCTTCACGACCCTTAGAGCTTTTTTTATCTGCTGAAAAAAAAGTGCATAGAGGCAGGAAAGAAGCATGAGTGTTTCAAGCAAAGTAGCTTTTTTTTTTCTTTTTTTTTTTGTAAAGCCTACTATAGAAAATTTGTTTGGATTTTTCTTTTGAAATAAAGTAAACCATTTCATTTTTGTATTTAAAAGGTTCAATAACATAAACTATTATCACTCTCAGTGGTAAAGTTGTGCATATACTGCATACAAATCCAATGAGAAGGAGGTTAAAATAGGCACGATACGAGCCTGTTTCTGTGCAACTTGCAAGAAAACACTCCATAGAAGGAAAAAATGTAGATTTTTTCTTCAAAAAAATGAAAAATTAAAAGCATAAACAGATATTCAGTTGCAAAGATGAAGAATCTGAATATGCAGGGTCTTTTCTAAAGGATATCACAAGGTGGTTTTTATTTGGTCGGAGAACCTGGGCAGAAATGCCTGGATGGGTGTAGCATGTCAACGCTCTGCAGGAGTCTGGCTCCAATGTTTGGGACGCTCACACAAGCTTTTGGCTCGCTGTCAGAGGACAGAGCACTGCAGAACATTGGAAAGTGCCATCACTGTTCAGCAATATCCATGAATAAAAGAAGACAGAGTGCAGGATGATACTGAAGAATACAGCCAAAGAGCAGAGCAGAGACCCCGTTCAGAAATGGGATTCATTTTAATCTTCTTCTCATCAGCACTTAGTGGGATTTTTAAAAATCCTTTTTTTGTTGTTATTGTTTTGCCTTCCACAAAAAGAAAACACACACATATCTGAGACACTGAACACTTTTCTGAACAAAAGAACATTTTATTAAGCTCAAAACAAAAGCACTGGTCACAATAGTATGATGCAAAAAGTTGGTGACATTTCAACCGGCAGTGGAAATGCTCTCCTGAATATGCCAGACCGTGAAATAACGTACCGAATCCCAGTGAAACCGGGCCCAAGCCATTGTTCCAAAGAAGCTCCTAAATGTGCAGCATAAACACATAACACTCACAAACACACTGGACTGTTTCACGAATACTACAGAGGAAAATGCTCCGCCTTGAATGGTATCAAAGTCAGAAAATAGTTTTTAAAAAATATCTTCCATCTGCATGTTTTTAGTATCCATAAACTTAAAACTCAATTTAAGCTGTAGAAACTTTTACGACGAGTTGCAATTTAATGTAGGATTTGTTAGTCTCACTTTTTGATACACCCATTGTCCCCTGGGTTATTTTGACAAACACTATCCCTGTGTTTTCTGTTGTGTTTCTGCTTTAAGACGGCCGAAGAAGTTAATGAGAGGCTGAACGGTTGGAAGGTGGAGGAGCTTCTCGATCTCAGGAATGACACGTTCAGAGACACAAATGACTCATCACTTCCTGCAAGCGTCGACTGGAGGTCAAGCGGACTGGTCGGTCCCGTCAGAAACCAGGTACTGAATGAGCTGCCGAAGGGAGATCAGCAAAACCTGGAAGACAACAGAAGCTCTAAATATATATATATATATATATATATATTTTTTTTTTGTTCTTTTTAGGGTTTGTGCGGTTCATGCTGGGCCTTCAGCGCTCTGGGAGCTCTAGAGGGGCAGATGATGAAGCGAACAGGCGTCCTCGTGATGCTGAGTCCACAGAACCTGGTGGACTGCAGCGCTAAGGAGGGAAACCTCGGCTGCAGGGGAGGATACATCACCAAGGCCTTCAGCTACATCATTCACAACGGAGGCGTCGACTCAGAGAGCTCATACCCCTACGAACACAAGGTCATCCTCTGAACGCTGACGCAGACCTTCTTTTCTTTTTTCTTAATATTTTTAATTTACTATACTCATCAAAAATAGAATATCCTAATGTCCTTTTTGTCCCCTCTAATGAGTCGCATAGTGTCGAGTTTATCTTTAAGACAAAGGCAAAGATCGTAAACTGAACAGAGAGCGGTGATAACAGCTTGAATAACACATTTTCTACACTTCTAACATTTCCCCGTCTTGTTTGCAGAATGGAAAATGCCGCTACTCGCTCCAAGGCAAGGCGGCTCACTGCTCCAACTTTCACGTCCTTCCACCGGGGAACGAGTTGGCTCTGCAGGCTGCAGTGGCATCAGTGGGACCAGTTGCCGTGGCTGTGAACGCCATGCTGCCCTCGTTCCATATGTACAAAGGAGGTGAGGATGCTGACGGCTCTGAAATCAGGGCGTTTGCCAGGGCTCGCACTTGCAAGTCAACCTTCCTACGTTTTAAGTCAGATTTGTGATGAAATATTTAGAATAAGTTTCATAGATAAAGCTGCAAATAATGTGCAAGTTTTCCTGTTTTATGGTTTGAAGGTGAAAATCAAATAGTTGTGAAAATGACTGATTTTGTTGGTATGAAACTGATTTGAAGAAATATTTTTTTTTTTTATCTATAGAACAGCAGGTTAGCTTCTCCTACAACACTTCACAAGGTTGTGGAGTACAGTAATGAATCTTTGACTTTTCCTCTGAGTACAGTCTACTTGGTTCCTCTCTTAAGCTCTTCTCTTCAGCTCACACACAGGATTTATGTCTGTGGACTGGAAAGTGTTCATTTTATGTTTGGTGAACCGTTTCTGTGTTCTTTTAACCAAATTATTTTAGTCATCCAGCTTAAAGACCCATCGTCCATCCATTCTCAGTTATTTGGCAGAGACAAACATATTTGATTTAAAATTATCTTGTGTTGCTGAGTTTGTGATGCCGATGACCCTACAATGGTTCCAAAAGCATTTGGGACAGGCCCAGCATCACAGAACCTCCAC